ACGCTATCAATGAATCACTGTTGACAAATCGCTAAATTAAGGATCGGCCATTGAGTCATACAGATACTATTAATCATCGGATAATTATACGTATTGCGCCACAAAAATCAATTGGGGAAAACCGTTTTCTAAAAATAGAATAATGACGTCATCCGCGATACTCATGACGTCATCCACTAAACTGGCCCCTATGTAGTCGTCTGGACCGACCGACCGACCGACCACCGGGTGACTCCTATATACCCCCCCCCCCCCCAACTTCGTTTTTGGGGGTATAATAAATCTTAATTTGAGCATCATATTTTTTCTGTAAAACCATAAAAAATGTGTTACAGGATGTTTAACCAATTTTCAATGGCAATTATTGACATTTATGTTCTGTTACTTGTTTTTGTTATAAATGTTATTTATACTTTCTTCTTTTACAACAATTACGCACTTTATGTTTCAAATTACATGGTTCTCAGTTCAATACTATAATCATCAGTAAAAGCCTGCAAACAAAATAATAGCATATAGAAAAATATTTATTGATACATCAATTCTAAAATATGTCATCACATGTAAAATGCAAATGAAAACTACATACAAAACAAACGTATGTGAGAGTACTGTTAGATGTAAGTGAATTATTTTCATCATAAACATAAGGACATGTGCACACATACGATGTTACTCGGCAAAATTTCCAAAGTTTATCAAAACCACAAGAAATGTTAATTTGTTTGTTTCGTATACGTAAAGATCAGCAGTTGCTTTAGACATAAAGTATGTTAATGTACTTAAAATATTTTTATAAGTCAAAAGTTAAAATGACATGCTTGTTTACAATATTTCGGATTTGATGTATATCATATGTCAATTGGAATTCTATTATTAGATCATAATATTTATAACTGATATACGATTGGTTATTTACATTGACTGATACGTGACAAAACTGTTCGAGTTAGGGTATTTGGAAGATATTTCGATTGGTCAATAATAAGGAACAATTTAAAGAAACATGTGAATAATTCCCTTGTGTCAATATTACTACTATATAATCAAATTTATTTCAAATTTAAAAAACGAACAATAATGAAAGTTGTTTGTTGCTTTTTTTCTTTTCCTTTACAGTTAGTCATGCCAAGATATAAAAAAGTCCTAAGACTTGTAAAAAGAAAAGAAGTATATCGAGGAGAAAAAATGATGAAGATAAACACAACTGAACTTCAATTTAGCATATTGTGTTATATATCTATTTGAAAGACCCTGTGTTAGGATATATCTGCACGCATGCACAATTTGTATATATATTTCTTATAAGATGAACGGGAATAATTGCCTTAATATTGCTAATTATTATAAAAGAATGATTAGTTATTCCTCGCTCAAAATATGCATGCCACATTATTGACACAAAAGTTTGCAACCAAAAATGCTTGAAGGATAAGTCTGCAACCAAAATGTACTTTAACAAGATATTGTTGTGTATTGAACGTTATCTGTGGACTTGCAAACTAAACCATTTGTACAGCATTGACAGAAACATATCTTGTTATTGTTAAATGCAGTTCAAAACTTACATTTTCGAATAAATTACGAGAAAAACCGACCAGAACAGTCACATGTCAAATTTCAAAATATCTACATGATCAGTTTATAACTTCAATAACTTCGTTAAAACATAATTTAGGATGCTGAAACCTTTAACCGAGTGTGGCATTTATATTGCATTATGGAATAGACATACTAATGAACTTCAAAATAACAAAGAAACCCGCTTGTCTGGCAAAAATTCGTTCACCCGTTTCAAAAAATCACGCCGTGTTCGCCATTTTGTCAAGTTTGCAACTAATTCGCTCGCTTGAACCAAGTGTGCAACCACTTCACGTCCTGCCCCTTGTATAGCATAATGCTAGGTTAATGCTTACTAAGACAATGTTTTGTAAAAATAAATTGCTTTACATTATAAATATTACAACCAGCTTTTGATATTTACCCTTTCTGTCAACTGTTAACATATCTACAATGAAAACGGTGACTCGATAAAATATATAAAGATAGGTTGTGATCTATATATTCATTTTATGACTTTATTTAAGGTTTGATGATTTTATAATATCTTGTCAAGTTTAGCTGCTTCAAATGTTTTACAGTTTTTTTATGTTTTGTGTATGATGTTCTGTTTAATCTTATTTCTTGATTTGTCGTGTTTGTTAAAATTAACATCATTTTAAAGCGCCCTTGAGCGAATGAAAGAAAATGGCGCTTTAAAGTCTGGTTTAATACTAATATAATAATAATCATAATTGTATATACATTGTAATACTAATGCTAGACGAATTTGTGATAATTAGCCTCCTTATCATTAACAATAAGCAAATGACATTTTTTTTTGAAGTCAGCCCAATCATAAAGGGCTGGGCAGCTCTTTGTCCCTTTCTCGTATGAGAAGGGGAATCCTAAAGAACGTGTATGTGGTCACTTTCCTTCCAACATAACAAGGATAAAACGATTTAAAAGTGTTTTGGTACGGCATCGTCATGGTGAGAAACCTTAACGACAGTATAATAGTCTTTATAAAAGTCTCATCCATTAAATTACAAAATTCGCCAGGTAAATGTTGTTTATGCACGCTAATTCTATTTAGAATAACCAGGCAACTCCCAAGACCACACTGCGGGGGATTTACAATATGCATTGCAGAGTTACCTCTCTTCCTTTTCCATATCTATTTACTTAAAATAAAGTATTTACAACTAAAATAAGAAACCACATATAGATACATACCCTGTCTAATTCTTATTTTTAGATAAGTGTATAACAATTAAAATTTCAACACAACATTTTTGTTAGCAATGTGCAAATGTCAATTAACGTTAATGGTAAAAGTCATTGATATTCAAATAAAGATCAAAGCAGGGAATCATGATCTGAATGAACTTCTGGTAATATTGCGTTGGGATGAATATCCTAACAAGGTTCTGTCTAATGATTTACTATATATATATATATATATATAATTATCCTTCTAAAACAATTTTCTAACATAGAATAATATGTAAAATATGCATTGCAAATATTTTTCCACATTATATGTAATTATATCAATAAATACATTCATTTCTTACTGAAAAATTTGACTTTGACTTTATGGAAAATAAATTTCTAATTACCTCCCTTTAACAAAAATTGTAAATTTTGTAATATCTTTTTGCGACTTTCAACGTTGATACATCTTTTTTATAGTATAAAACACTACAAAATGAGTACCATAATTTTAAGACACCTTTACCTAAACTACTATTTATTTTATGTAGTGACTCAATCCATTGATCTGAACACTCGGTCAGATAAATTGGTTAGCTTTTCAACCAAAAACATGGGGGCCTCCGTGGCCAAGTGGTTAAGGTCGCTGACTTGAGATCACAGGTCCCTCACCGCTCTAGGTTCGATTCTCACTCGGGTCGAAATCGTTCATGTGAGGAAGCCATCCAGCTGGCTTACGGAAGGTCGGTGGTTCTACCTAGGTGCCCGCTCGTGCCTGAAATAATGCCCAGAGGGGCACCTGGGGTCTTCCTCCACCAATAAAGCTGGAAAAAAAATCGACGAAAAAATCTCGGCGGGACGCTCTAGGATGGCCCGACTTAAGTGTACGGTCGCCCATATGGGCTTTCCGGCGGCGACCTAAATAAACGCATTAAAAAAAACAAAAACAAAAAACCAAACACATCAGAAATGTTCAAGTAAATCAACTAAATTCAAAATTGCATGTAATATTTATCAAAAGAAACAATTATAAAAATTGTTAATCATAAGAATTACATTAAATTATTAATGAAGTTGTTGCATACTGATACAATTTATTCTTTTGTTATTGCTCCTTTCTTTTGCACTAAAGCCACTTGGAAGATAATAGTTATTTGAGCGCTTTACAGACGTGGGAAGTCACGTTTTGAATAGCTCTGATGGGGTATAGTTTTACATCTCTATAAAAAAAATAATCCTATGTGTGTGTGTGATCCTTATGTTTGTACGTTTTGTTTGTATACAGGTAATATATATTTTTTATATATACCACGTCTTAGTTGTACTTCTGTATACAGACAGATTATTTAAAGACTGGCGGTTAAAAATGATTTACTTCATGAATTCACGGTTTGCATGAATACTGCAAAATCAGTCAATAACATATTTATAAGTGACTTAATAGTAAATTTTTCTACTTTTCTCAAAATATGTGTACGTTTTTCTCAAGTTTAATCTCATCTTTAACTTCACGAATTATTTTGTTCTTACCTTAAGTGTTTCAACTTCAATGATTCATGTTTTAACGATCTTATTTTTATTTATTCAACAGCCTTTTTTATTCATCATTTCGTGATTTCAAATTCGTTAATTCAAATTGTTTACTTTATTAAGTTTAAACGGTGAACTCCTGAATCTGAAGCAATTATTTATTCATGAACTTAGTATTTTCACAATGTTGAAATTGTAAAATTGAATTGACAAGTTCACGAAGCATAAATGTCACTGCTCGATTTTCGTAGGTAATTCAGACTAATATATGATTCATTGTTAACAAGAGGGTCGCAAACGTAATAAGTTATTACATTAGATGTCACTACATCATTTACATTTTATACGATGAACAAATTGCATTTTTCCTCTGTCAAATGATTCGGACTTGTGTGATAAAACTATCCAGATCGCTGGCTCTACATAGTTGCCTTCTTATGTCTGACATAATGTACGGAAAGGCACCCGAGATCTTCCTTCACTAGAAAAGCTGGAAAGTCACCATACGACGGACTGTTGTAATAAATTGTTTATAGGCAGAAAATGCATGAACAGAAAAATATTTATTTGATACGTGAAAGTGCTAATATGAATATTTACAAAGTTGTGTTTATATTAAAAGAAATAAAGCACGGTTTTTACATGTTCTCTTTTTTTCAAAGCAAAGGTTGACCTTTGAGATCCAACAATGATGTAAAGATAGTAGAATTATGGTATTATTTCTGTTTCCGGCAGAATGAAACGAGAACCAGTAATATACCGGAAATTGTCATTGCTAATCCTGCAGCTAGAAACGAGGATGTGTACGTCTGTGTTACGTCATACAGCAGTCCTAAAATAAACGTTATACAAAAGCAGCTTAGTATGACATTCATCACTATCACTATTCGCCAAACCTCGACACTTTCCTACAGAGCTTGATATAATAGAGAAACTGACACCATGGCTTATTGGCAAATATTCTTATTGTTATTGTTTTACTATATAAATCCTAATGTGACGTCAGTGCGTAATTTGAAGTTGCCATTCACTGACCTCATATCGCGTTCATTAGTCACTTTGTTTGAAATGTCTATCTTAACAATTGTTTGTTGTTGTCTTTTTGTTGTTGTTTTTTTTTTCAGAATGATAAAATAAATATCATCTCTCCATTTACCCATGAATTTTAGCTCACCTGTCAGAAAGTGACAGGGTGAGCTTTTGTGATCGCTTTTCGTCCGGCGTCCGTCCGTCCGTAAACTTTTGCTTCAAATAACATCTCCTCATAAACCACTAAGCAAATTTCATCCAAACTTCACAGGAATGTTCCTTTGGAGGTCACCTTTAAAAATTGTTCAAAGAATTTAATTCCATGCAGAACTCTGGTTGCCATGGCAACCGAAAGAAAAAACTTTAAATATCTTCACTTAAAAAACCTAAAGAGCTAGAGCTCAGATATTTGGCATGAAACATCTCCTGATACGTGTCCACCAAGTTTGTTCAAATAAAAGCCCTTGGGTCAAAATTGGCCCCGCCCCAGGGGGTCATTGATTTTCCCTATATACATATAGTAAAAACTTAAAATTTCTTCTTTTAAAGAAACCATGGAGCTAGAGCTAAGTTATTTAGCATGAAACATCATCTAGTAAGTGTCTACCAAGTTTGTTCAAATAAAAGCCCTGCTGTCAAAATTGGTCCCGCCCCAGGGAGTCATTGATTTTCCCCATATGCATATAGTAAAAACTCAAAAAATCTTCTTTTAAAGAACCCATAGAGCTAGAGCTAAGATAACTAGCATGAAACATCTTCTAATAAGTGTCTACCAAGTTTGTTCAAATAAAAGCCCTTGGGTCAAAATTGGCCCCGCCCCAGGGGGTCATTGATTTTCCTTATATGTGTATAGCAAAAACTTAAAAAATCTTCTTTGAAAAAACCTAAATAGCTAGAGTTTAGATGTTAAGCATGAAACATCTTCTAGTGAGTGTCTACCAAGTTTTTTCAAATAAAAGCCCTGGGGTCAAAATTGGCCCCGCCCTGGGGGTAATTGATTTTCCTTATATGTGTATTGCAAAAACTTAAAAATCTCATTGAAAAAAACCCAAATAGCTAGAGTTTTGATATTTAGCATGAAACATCTCCTTATAAGTGTCTACCAAGTCTGTTCAAATAAAAACCCTGGGGTCAAAATTGGCCCCGTCCCAGGGTGTCATTGATTTTCCCTATATATATGTAGTAAAAACTTAAAATTTCTTCTTTTAAAGAACCCATAGAGCTAGAACTAAGATATTTAGCATGAAACACCATCTAGTAAGTGTCTACCAAGTTTGTTCAAATAAAAGCCCTGGTGTCAAAATTGGCCCCGCCCCATGGGGTCATTGATTTTCCCTATATGCATATAGTAAAAACTCAAAAAATCTTCTTTTAAAGAACCCATAGAGCTAGATCCTAATATCTAGCATGAAACATCTTCTAATAAGTTTCTACCAAGTTTGTTCAAATAAAAGCCCTTGGGTCAAAATTGGCCCCGCCCCAGGGGGGTCATTGATTTTCCCTATATGCATATAGTAAAAAACTTAAAAAATCTTCTTTTAAAGAACCCAAAAAGCTAGAGCTAAAATATTTAGCATGAAACATGTTCTAATGAGTGTCTACAAAGTTTGTTCAAATAAAAGCCCTGGGGTCAAAATTGGCCCAGCCCCAGGGGGTCATTGATTTTCCCCATATGCATATAGTAAAAACTTAAAATCTTCTTTGAAAAAACCCAAATAGCTAGAGGTTAGATAGTAAGCATGAAACATCTTCTAGTGAGTGTCTACAAAGTTTGTTCAAATAAAAGCCCTGGGGTCAAAATTGGCCCCGCCCAAGGGGGTCATTGATTTCCCTATATGCATATAGCAAAAACTTAAAAAACTTCTTTTAAAGAACCCAAAGAGCTAGAGCTAAGATATTTAGCATTAAACATGTGCTAATGGGTGTCTACAAAGTTTGTTCAAGTAAAAGCCTTTGGGTCAATTTTGGCCCGGCCCCGGGGGTCATTGATTTTCCTTATATGTGTATAGCAAAAACTTAAAAAATCTTCTTTTAAAAATGCCAATGAGCTTGAGGTTAGATTGCAGGAAACATCTTTTTGTGGGTGTACCAAGTTTGTTCAAATAAAAGCCATTGGGTTAAAATTGGCCCTGCCAAAGGGGGGGGGGGTCATTGTTTTTCATTATATATGTGTCGTAAAAACTTAACATCATGAAACATCTTCTAATGAGTGTCTTCCAAGTTTGTTCAAATAAAAGCCCTGGGGTTTAAACTAGCCCCGCTCCGGGGGCCTAAATACAGGTGAGCGACCTCAGGGCCATCATGGCCCTCTTGTTATATATAATGTCCATCATCAAAAATGTCAATGTTAACAGCACAATTGCATGTTCCAAAGTTTGTGGTTTCACATCATCAACTAGAGCAAGTATTAAGGACTATCGCTCGAACTAGAGAAGTTGCAGGATGACATGTTCTGAATTAGTGACAGTCGGTGTCATGTGTTTTTTACCTCGTGATTGTAATAACGGCAATATGCTTTTTTGATACAAAATTAGAGGTATTGTTTGCTGACCAATTTGTTAGTTATGATACAAATGGTATATGCTGTCTCTATTTATGGTAAACAAATCATAAAAAAATCACCATGATACAATCATTTGGCTAAAACTTGACCATAATTTGTTCAATACTAAAGAACATATTTATGTGTATGGTGCATATATATATAGGGTGCAGACTCACTTGCATACAAAACATAAATGTTGATTTGTTTGATTTATTAGAAAATGATATTTTATACGACTTTCTAGGTCCTGTGTACATTCTCAGAGATTTCAATAACAGAATAGGAAATAATTATGATGACTTTATAATACATACTTAGAATGATGTGTTTAATGATAAATATCACTGGGACTCGGCACAGTGTTGGGATAGTGGTAAAGGTAATTTTAGAGAAAAAAACTGTAAATATAATATGTAGACACGAGGTTGAACACGCCAAATCGGCTGAATATCACTAGGCCAGTTTAAATCAAAATTGCAGTCATTTCACGAAAATTATATAAAGTTTTATATCAAATTGCAGCTAAAAGACATCACTAGACGTTGACAATAACATTATTGCCCCACTTTACGCGTTTTTGAACAAATATCGATATTTCGGATGTAATATCGTAGTTTGCTAGGTCGGAGACAGCCCTGAAACCAGTCCCCTCTCGATTTACTACGTGTTAAAACGCAATTCCAAATCACGTCATTGTACCAACCCGCAATAAACTGATAAAACAAATTCATGGAAAAAACTTAATAACTTTAATTTTACGGCCTTTTATATTAATTCAGGAATATTTGAGTGGTAAAGCATGGACTCCTTCGTAAATTGAAAGAATTTGAACATAATGTCAGTTATTTGACTCGATTGGGTCATCAATATAAAATTTATCATGTGAAATCTGGGGGATATACTAAGTCCAAAGAAATAGGATGGATACAATATACAATATAAAATTTTGTAAAAGGTTTTTAAGCGTCCAAACTAACACTTGATACGCTAGTGTTTACGGCAAACTGGGAAGATGTCACTTATACAATGTATATTCACATATAATACCTATACTGGTTAAAAATTGGAAACTGATAATATAACACAACATACAGTATATAATCAAGCTCTAGGAGACAGCAACAATGGTCATAAAAATTGGATTTCAAAAGTAAAAAGGTTATTGAATTTATGGATTTTCATAAATACTTGATAATATTGATACTATTTAAGATTAATTTTATATGAATTTTAATGACGTGTTAAATAGGAATGGTATGTTACTTTAGGAAATAGTTCTGTATTGCATATTGTTTAAAAATGTTAAATGTTGTTTTTGAGTATGATCTTTATTTGGATATCTTGCCAAGATATTTTTAGATTTTATTTCTAAAGATTAAAAATGAGTTTGTCTTTGAGAGCACAAACTGGAAGATATTGTAGAAATAAATTGTTAAAGAAGAAACGTACTGTTTATACTTTAATATTTCAGACATCGAAGCTGAATACCATTACATCTGTACATACCGTTGTATTGCAGAGTTAAGAAAATATATTTGAAAATATGCCAGAATCTTGCCGGTTTAAATTTTTTTACAATTGCTGAACATGAATTAAATCAGTTATCCAAAAAAACAATATGTATGAATATAGATTGAAACATTGTACCGTTCATATAAAAACACAGGTATGTTTTTCAAAAATAGTTTTCAAAATACGGAATGACAATATGGACAAACTGACGCAACAACAAAAACTTGTGTTGACGTATTTATCATTCGATTGATTTAAGCTAGAATATTTTCGCGCTTATGTCCTCCGTAAAATATTATCATATAATTTATGATAATACTTCAAACTCGGTTATCTCGAACTACCGATCTCTTGAACAGCCTTGCACAGGCTACCGAATTCGAGCAAACGAAATTTTACGGTAATATATTATTCATTTTGCTCTTACTTGCCCTGGACACTGCTTAAATGACCAAAATCTCTTAAATATATTTGAATTTCATCCCAAATTGTTATTTAGTTCTGAACAGGCATTCTATAAAGAGACAAAATGGATATTCTCAACAAATGTAAGGATTCATCTCTTAATCGAGGAAGTTTTGATCTACAAAAATTTGAAACTTACCGGTAATTGGAGGTCCAAGTATAGAACCAAATGCACTAAAAAGATTGTTAAAACCCATTGCATCTGCAAACAGGTTGATACCAGTTATATCAACCAACACAACCGATGTTAATGAAAGAGTTATGCCTGGAAAACAAAGACAAACGAAAACAAATTAATATAAACTAATGGAATTTGTGAATGTTTCATTTCTGGTTTCTGCGCAGATTTTAACACATAATTTGGTCTATATAACCGGCTTTTCCTGGACTGCAAAGAACTTCACTGAGGTCCAAATGCCTGAAAACATCAAATTTCAAAATTTAAAAAAATTAAAGCGCAAAACGAATACTCAGAATTAAACTAACAGTCACTTGTAGTTTCTCACATAGTACAACAAGATTAAATATGAAATTCTTTTTTACCTGAAGAAATGCCATATATAACTGCATACACGAGGAACAACCACAATGTTTCAAAAAGAGGTAAAAGAGCTGTACTGATTCCACTTATCACCAGGGCAATCTTAAACATTGTCATTCTGAAATAAACTTTAAAATCTTTAAGCTGCATGACTTCAGATGAGTCCAAAATAAGAAAATGAAAGTTGAGAAAAATGTACTTAGACTTACAGAAATCAAAGTAAAACGATTCAAGCTTTAGTAATAATTTACATGTTATGTCCGATAAATATCCTATTTTGTGGAATTTATCATGATGTTTCTATTTCGTGACTAACACAGTAAGGGCTATTTTAGCATATATGACCTCTGTTTGATTATTCACATGGATTTTACGTGCCGTTTGCAATGTGTTAATTTCTTTCTTTTCTTTATTCACTTTACAATATTTTACTTTAGCTAAATGTTCAAAATTTTCATCACAATATTTTACTATTAGATATATTTTCAAAATGTTCATGAAATTTAGCATGAATCTGTAGACGTCCTGCTTAACCTGAAACAAAAAGTACTATGCCTTTGCCATAAGTGATGCCACTTTGCACTTCCATAGCTCTACGTATACTGTTGTCCATTGGTAGCTGTTTTATTATTATTATTATTATTATTGTTATTATGATTATTATTATTATTATTATTATTATACAATACCTTAAAGTTAAAATTGACTATAATTCCAAATTCTAAACAGGGCAACTTCAGTAATGCTCGTGTTTTTTTCGCTGAAAATGCTATTAATTGTAAAGGATTGGCCATTATGAAAAAATGAGAAAAAAACAGACTTTTATTAACTGGACGATACCAATGAATTTCAAAAACTACTATAGAATTTTGCGTTGGACATGTGGGTTATTCATTATTGTTATTACAGGATAGAAAAACATTATGGCAACATTTAAATTTATTTTGGCACTTACCTGTACTCTCGCCATTACACTTGGATCGGCATAATGTCACAACTTAAGGATAAGATGATTAAATTTTGTATGACACCAATAGTATTTGCTATCAATTAAGACAATCAGCAACACAATGCATTGTACTGTCATTGTAAAATCAAACAAAATTTAGCACTTAAAACATGTATTATTTCGAACCTTCAGTAAATATAAACGCACAAAAAATAAATTTAATATTCAGTTTTAGCGCTTTATTTTTACGCTATGCGTCACAGTATTTTTGCAATGACCTGTATATTTGGCTCCTCCTCCTAACAAGTCATTCAATCTCGTTCGCGCATGCTTTGTAGACTGGGTTTATAAACCGAACACGCTTCTGCAAATTCCTTTTCGATCCAGTCCACGAGCTCCTGAAGCTGCCCTGAACCAACACGGAAAAATATTGGAGAAAAATTTATGGAGCGGTTCTGAACAAACATGGCAAAAATACTTCATTTTTGTGTTTTTTAAAGTAGCCGAAGGTAAAGTTGTCTTTCTTTATTATCGTCCTAGTATTTTATGACAATATTGAGTTAAATTTATCTGACAAACTAATTTTTCAAATTGTTTTTTACGACCACGAGTTTTAGACAATCTAGATCTATAAGCAATACTGGGCTGAAGGGCAGAGAAAGTCTGCTAAAGACATTGTTGATACTATTTTGCAATAGGTTTATTAAAAAAAAACAAAAACAAAAACTAAAAAACAAGCAATTATCATAGTATTACAAGCAATCCATAAGTCCCCCTACCGGTTAGAACCCCAGCAACATTCTGAAGGGCCATTGGCCATTCACTTATGTTTCTATTTTAAGTAAATTTGTTGAAAAAGTTCTATAAAAGTGATCACAGGAAACAGTTTTTATGTACAGACAGACAGACAGACTGAAGGACACTCTAAAGTTATTTTTAAACATCCCTGTTATCAAAATAGAACATTTTTAAAAGCAAAATTTTTAAAAAGGAGATAACTCTTGAAATAAAGATGCAAGATGTCATACATGATGTGAGTGTAACAAAGAACAATTAGTAATGAAGGTATGAATAATGAATGTTTATTTTAAATTTGAAGATCATGAAAGTTAAAAGAACGATAGGAAAAATTAAAAGTTTAAGGAGGAGATTATTCTGGAAATATGGATGCAAGATTTATAAACCTTGTCATAATTATTATTATGATGTGGGAGTTTGAAGAAAATCCTATCATGATTGAAGTAGTTGGAGTAAAAATCACCAATTTCTCAAAAAAAAGACTAAGTTCAAAAGGGTCATAATTCTGGAAATAGTCTTGCTAGAGTATCGAACTTTCTCACAAATGTTGAGTGATAATACGAAACATTTATATGAAGTTTGAAGAAGATACATTCAGAAAAAAAGGAGTTATTAAAAAAAACAATATTTTTTCATGAAAATTTTAAGTTCAAGGGAGGTAATTCTGATAAATTTTGTCCTAGAGTTGTAAACCTTGTCACACATGATGTGGTTGATGACTAGCAACTTATATTTAAAGTTTGAAAAAATACCTTAAGAAATAAAGAACTTATAGTGAAAAAAACTTAAAAACTAGAATCAGAAATCTTGAAATTCAGTCTATTTGTTGCCATAGCAACCAGAATTTTCAACATAGGAAGATAAGAAAAGGATGTTCATAATTTCCATACTGCCATCTACCCATATGTCAAGTTTCATATAAATATTTTCAATACTTTTTGCGTTATCACTGGATCCAGGTTATGTTTAAAATTTGCCATATTTTCAGTCTATTTGTTGCCATAGCAACCAGAATTTTCAACATAGGAAGAAAAGAAAAAGACGTGCATAATCTCCATACTGTCATCTATCCATATATCAAGTTTCATTAAAATATTTTCAGTACTTTTTGCGTTATCGCGGGATCCAGTTTTGTGGACGGACAGACGGACGGAGGGTCAACCTAAAGTCCCCTCCGGTACACCGGTAGGGGACTAAAAAAAAATATTTGGTCACGTCATCACTAGACTTTATGACGTAACAAATAAATTCTACCTTGTGACTAGTGACGTATAAAGTGTAATAAATACCCTGACTAAGTGTGTATAATGAACAGCTCTGCTAAATAAGTGTCTGTATTAAACAGCTCTGCTAAATAAGTGTCTGTATTAAACAGCTCTGCAAAATAAGTGTGTGTAATAAACAGCACTGCTAAATAAGTGTGTATAATGAACAGCTGCTTAACCATTTCCCTCATGAGCATATTGTGAAAAATGGCCGTTTTCATTGAAAAGCCTCCTGTTACAAGTTCAAACTGCTATGAAACTATGACAAATACTTCAATACTAATCAATGGCACAAATGTTGACTGGACCTTTGCCTATGTAACGACATGCTCAGTCTTAAATTTCCTGTTACCATGGCAACGAGGGGACGTCTCAAAATTGCCAAAATCACTAATTTGCTTTAATTTTTACTATCAAAATTTATTTCAAAGTGCTGCAACCCCCTGATGCATCTTTTGGATGGAGGGCGGTGCCAAAAAAAGTGCCCACTTTTTTAAGCAACATTTCTCAAACGAAAACATGTGTTTGGGGCCCAAATAGGACAATTTTCATAATTTTAGGTCTAAAAGAGGGGGGGGGGGGGTCAAAAATGCGTTGTTTCGCGTATATATGAGGTAAAGGGTTAACAAAAAATGATGACAAACTTTGGAATTACCCGAAATGTTGTTTATCCATGTGATCTCTCACCTAATTTTGGTGAAAAATTGTTGTTCTGTAACAATTTTTTTTTTTTAGTTAACCCTTTCCCTCGTTCAAACTGCTATAAAACTATGACAAATGCTTCAATACTAATCAAACTTGACACAAATGTTAACTGGACCATTGCCTATGTAACGACATGCTCAATTTTAAATTTCCTGTTACCATGGCAAAAAGGGGACGTCTCAAAATTGCAAAAAAATCACTTATTTGCCTTGATTTGTTCCATCAAAATTTATTTCAAAGTGTTGCAACTTCTCAATGGATTGAGTTAGAGTCAAAGGCTTTTCAGCATTGGTTACACGTTACCTTATGATCGACCTGGGGTCATTTTTAGCCTCTCACAAGTCCAAAATTTTCTTGGCGATGAGGGGGACTACCGTCCTCCTTTAAACCCCCCAAACAGAAGGGGGCACATCCCGCTTGTGGCAACCCCCTGATGTATCTTTTAGATGGGGGAGGGCGCCGAAAAAGTGCTCACTTTTTTACGCAAAATTTCTCAAACGAAAACATGTGTTTGGGGCCCAAATAGGACATTTTTGCACTATTTAGGCCTAAAAGAGGGGGGTGTTGAAAGTGCGTTGTTTCGCGTATATATTAGGTAAAGGGTTAATAAGGGTGTGTAATAAACAGCTTTGCAAAATAATTGTGTGAAATGCACAGCTCTGCTAAATAATTGTTGGAATGGAGAGCTCTGCTCAATAATTACATGTAATGGGCAGCTTTACTAATAATCGTGTGCAATGGAAAGCTCTTTTTGAAAAAGTGTGTATAATAGACACTGGAGTTCCTTTAACGTAAAACAACTGTTTGTTTTGTTAATCTATTGCCATTACCTGTTTACAAAAGATCTATCGGCTACATAACCAAGCACGACTCTACCAGCAATACTAGAGATTCCAATTGTAGAGGCAATCCAAGCCGCACTGTCACCATTTACTCCTTTTATATAGACGAAATTTTGTTGGAATTACATTATCATGATAAAAAAATTAAGATAAGAAAACACCATGCGTGTACTAAGTAATACCAGCTGATTTGAACCTATTCATTGATACTTGCTATATCTTAAGGTACTGATTTGTTATTACTTCTATTTTATTTGTGTAATGGACTCCCAACTTTGGAATGGTGAATTTTATTTTATTTGTTTCAAAGCCCGGTAAGAAGCCAAAAATAATGACTCCAATTGCATAGGCGGCAAAGTCTAGTCTGACCTTATACTGTGGATTTATGGAAATCTTATGATGTTCCTATCCAACTATTGTTTACAGGTGTTAACTTTTAACTTAAAAACAAATTCTACAGGTTTTAAAAGATCGTGTATTTAACGAACAAACTTAGTTGAAACGTTTCCTTAAGGGCTTTATAATATCCCTTAAAGTGGATTGATCTACAATGGGTGAGCTTTTTAAAGCATTTCAAATACTGATAAACACACGGTTTTAGAAATAAATCATTTTAATATTCTTATGAAATATTTCTGTAAATCAGAATGCTGATATAGTTCTTATTATAAGTGATTTAGTATGAACATTTGTATGATGAATGATGATATTTTGGTTTAGAACACTTTATTATCTGCGATATATTTGTATGTCATATGGGGTCATGTATCCGAGACTTACCAAAAGCATTCACATGTAATAGTTTTGTAGTTTGTTTTCACATAAAATACGTAATCCTTTCAACATGATTATTTATGGTATATCAGACAAATTTACTTTGACGTGTACTTGGCAATATGCAATATGGCTGTATTTTGTTTGCTGATTTGCTGATTTCTGTTTCCGCTTCGGGACCCGCCAAGCGAAAAGTCGAGAATAAACAAGTTAAAATGGCGGGAGCGCGGAGCGAAAACACGTTAATAAGCGGGGCGCGCAGGGTGAAGTTTAATCTCGCGAGGCCGCGGAGCGAAATATAAGAAATAAACGGCGGGGGCGCGGGGTGAAGTTTAATGAAATAAAACTTCGCCCGCGCCCGCTTATAGCGTGTTTTCGCCCGCGACCCTTCCAAGCGGAAAGTCGAGATTTAAAATGTTAAAATGGCAGGGGCAAAGGGCGAAAATAACGAATGGCACAAGTCAGACACCGTACTGTATTCATTGAACATTCACGATATAATCTTTGCACGTCGGTTATAAATGACTATTATAATAAACTTACCATCGCCTGTGGCTTTATCAGGAATGTAAATAAATGGAATATAAAAACCAGCAAAAAACAGGAACTGTGTGAAGAAAAACACTACCACTTCTGTGCATTGAAAAAGAGTTTTATACCGCTCAACGACGCTATCTTGAGTTGATCCTATGACCTCGTTACTGTCTTTTGAAAATTTACTGTCTTTTGAGCAGTCGATTGGCTGAATACCCTTTTCGAAAATCCTTGAAGCATCCTGTCGGACAATTTCGATTCTAACTGAATCGGTTGGATAAACACCATGTTCTTGACCCTCTTGCCGATCCTTTGATCCAAATTTAATGTTACATTTATTTTCGCCAGCTGTATTTTCTCCGGTGCAATGACTATCTTTAGGATTTACAAATGATATTTTGTTTTCCTCACTCTCACCATGAACTGTTTCTTGTGAGCGGTTGGCACAATTTTGTACCGGAAGTGAACGGAATATCAGCGCGCATGGTATACAGTTCAAGATAATTGCCGACAACAAGAGTAGTGTCCCTTTCCAAGCATACGTATCGATGAGAAAGCTTAAAAGCGGGCTGCAATGAAAAATAAACAATATGTAAATTAAACACGCCCGTTTAACTCACAACAGTGAAAAATGTCCATCGGTAAAAATGTTGTGAGCAACTTCCGTTCCTCGTCTTGAACACCCATCTTTGACGTGTGACACGATAAACAAGGTGAGTTTTTCATAATTTTTGAAGATTTCAGACATTTATGTAAAAAATATCGAAATGCAGTTAGCTAGCGATGTGTTTTCCGAGTATGCACATGTAAAGATATTGCCTGTTGGTGGACAATTCGATGGAAATACCGTGCGACGCAGTCACTCGGGGTAGCAGGAAAACTGGAGACAACTTCTCTTTGGACCTAATTTAACATTGAAAACGTCGATTCTGGTGACGTTTTTTGCATTCTAACCTAAAACAGATGCCCACAAGTCTTCAGCGTAAAATATTATAGGAAAATCTTCATAGAAACGAAGATATACCCTTTTTTTGCTTTAATCCTCGTTGTGAGCTCCATAACCTCGTTGTGAGCAAGACAAGCGCAGTGCTTGTCTGGTTTAAATATGTAAATAAAATGGCAAGAATACAATTTTCAATCTACCAAAAGCAATCAAAACGTTTTTATACAATAGTTTTTCTTTGCAATAGTTCTTTTTTTTACTTTTTTTGAAAATTATTCTTCATACTCACAAGTCATCAGATTAACAGAAGAACTAATCAGTGGAGGTAAATCAGGTATTTTATTTCGTATAATCTAGTGTGGCACGAGTGAACATCACGGGGAGTTTATGAATATTTCAACAATTTCACAATCTGTGCGATACACACATACATGTGTTTATCCTGAGCTGAAGACTGACCAAGGTATGTAAAACAAGAACTATCACGGTAAGTTGACAATGCCCCTGAAGTGGTGCTTTGTCCTTTGATTTATGGACCAGATAAATTATTTGTTTTTGGACAATTAGATCTTCAATGTGAAGGTCATTCAAGGTCAAGGTGAAATAAATATAGGTCAGTTGGAAGGTCTTGCCCAAAGGGGCATTGTGTCCAAATATGAATTAATTCCACTCACTTATAAAGAAGTTATGACCAATGTTCAAGTTTTTGAATGTTCTAGACGGTCATTCAGGGTACAACGTAAAAAAATACAGATCAGTTTGAAGGTTTTGCCTTAAGGGGTGTTGTTTCAAAACAGGAGTAGAATCCGTTTGCTAATAAGGAAGTTATGACCAATTTTTAAGTTTTTGGACAATTTGACCTTCAAGGTGAAGGTCATTCAGCGGTCAAGGTCAAAAGAATATAGGATGGCTGAAAGGCCTTGTCCAAAGATGTGTTGTGCTTAAACATTATGCCAGGATATTATGGCCAATCTTAAATGTTTTTGGACAATTTGACCTTCAAGGTAAAGGCCATTCAGGGGCCAAGGTTAAAAAGTACAGGTCCGTAGAAAGGTCTTGTGCTACGGGATGTTGTGTTCAAATATGAATCAAATCCGTTTACTAATAAGGAAGTTATGGCCAATGTTAAAGTTTTCGGACAAATTGACGGACTGACAGATGGACAATTAAAAACACAGGTGCTTCAAACATACTTTTTAAAGTTTTGTTTGGGCTATATACTATAATAAGATATCTTTATATACATATATAGACTGATTATGTAAAATATTTGATTATGTGACTAGCTATCTTTATATACATATATAGACCGGTTATGTAAAATATTTGATTATGTGACTAGCTATATTTATATACATATATAGACCGGTTATGTAAAATATTTTATTATGTGACTAGCTATCTTTATATACATATATAGACCGGTTATGTAAAATATTTGATTATGTGACTAGCTATCTTTATATACATATATAGACCGGTTATGTAAAATATTTTATTATGTGACTAGCTATCTTTACATACATATATAGACCGGTTATATGTAAAATATTTGATTATGTGAGTAGCGCCTGTGCTTCAAAACTTATATGCCTCCCTTTGGGGTATGCACAACGTTTTGCAAAGAAATGCTGCTGTGCAAAAACGTTTCAATTGCTGTGGTAGATTGAAAATTGTATTTTCACCATCTGAATTACATATTAAAACCATACACGCACTGCGCTTGTCTTGCTCACTAACTGCATTTCGATATTTTTACATAAATGTCTGTAATCTTCAAAAATTATGAAAACTCACCTTGTTTATCGTGTCACACGTCAAAGATGGGTGCTCACAACGAGGAACGGAAGTTGCTCACAACATTTTTACCGATGGACATTTTTCACTCGTTGTGAGTTAAACGGGCGTGATTAAAGTAACAACTCCATTCTTGTCACTTTTGTTTGATTTTCATTTAATGATGCCTGTGCTTACGTAATGCAGGAGTCGCGCACAAAAAATATTTCTCAAAATACATGAATTACTATTACTATTATTTAGTACGATTAGATTTTCCTGTCTCATAAAATTTGTCTAATTCAAGTATAATTGATAGTATTATAAAATTTAAAGTGTCAATATTATTACATTTGTACGTTAATTTTTCATAATAAAAAGAATAAATAGAAATAGATAGAAACAGATGCAGATTCAATTTCAACTTCCGGTATGTTCCCGTGTTACGAATTAATGCACGAATGTCATTATTGGTGTTGTTTTCATTATCAACCTCAAAATTTTGGGAGAGATGGCCAAGTTGTAAAATTATTTGCCTACGGGCTCTTTTGTTAAAAGCGGTCTAGTAAATCACTTACCGACCGCTTAACAGGTCTGCAAATATATACCGACCTGTTTTTGTTCTCTCGTTCTCTATACAATAGAAAATATGTGTAGTCGAGAAACTCGTGCATTACAGTACACAATATTAATTCACTGTAAAAAACGCTGTAGGGGGGGGGGGGGGGGGTTAATGTCCACTTTGAACAGAAAAAAGGGTCGATATATTTTAAAGGTTAATAGAAATAAATTAGTGCAAAAGGCTGTAAGGACCATCATAACATAATTATATTCCAGATTATTTGTGAGAAAAACAACTGGCTACTTTTCTGGCGTTGAAGTTTGTGTTTCGCCGATATTAATGAGTACAATAACGCACATTTAGCCTTTATTTATAGTTTGCTTTTCGATATACCTAACATATTTGCCGAACTATATAGCTTCATAAGATACTAGTTTTCGTATTTATTTCCAAAACTATGTCTGACTTTGCACAATCATGCATTATTTAACAATTCTGCATTATGGGATATATACGACAATTATATTATTGGTGCATATCGAACTTCTGCATCTTTCCCAAAATATTACTTTCAGTGAGACTATAGTTCATCTTGAGTATAATACCGTTATTCTCATTTTTCCCAGTTATTTTTACATTACAATTTGAATTTTGTATACCAGTACTCGCCTGTTCTTCGCAAGAATACGACTTGTACTTCCATTCTAGACCTCATGCTTACATGCGGTCTTATCAAACATATGAATAACGGATGATACAATGAAAGCAAATTCTTCCAAACATGAATGAAATTCTAAGAATATTTAAAATCAGCCATCATAAAAAACAACAACAACAAAAACCCAACTTACATGACTGTATATCTACATGTATTACTAATATTTATTCATACCACCCTGTCTTTTACTTTCCTTCGAAAAAAAAACGTATATTTTAATCATATTAGAAATAGCCTGATCATCTATTGGCCATGAAATTTATTATATATAAAGATAAAGTGTTCCGTTTTTATGATTAGAAAACTTTTTTATCTTCCTCAATATTATTTAATATGTTATGTATTCATATATCAAAATAATGATCTTACCTTTGCCTAATCGACAAGTTCTGTTTTCATTTTCTGTGACTCAACAAGTACATTACCTGACCTTATTACATTATGAAACCCCACGAAAAACACGAGAATATTCAAATAACATCTGATTTATAAACGAATGAATTACAAGAGCGTAGCGGATGGTATCTTTGCATGGCTTTGGAATGCTTTCTTAAACATGATAAAGTACATAAATAATATGTTTCTTGTGAGCAATATGTTAAAAATTGAAGTATGGATAGAAAAACAAAAGAGCATGTAGGTAAGATAGTTACCGCACTCGGAATAGGTCTTCATTGTATTTACAGACCCGGTGGCCTTTTAAAAACCTCGATCGCTACGCTCTCTCGGTCTTCAAATCGCCACCCGGGTCTGTAAATACTAAGCAGACCTATTCCTCGTACGGTAACTATTACTTGCAGCTCTTTGATTAGCGGGACCAATACTCATTGTTTCCACGAAACTCTCATAACACACATTTTATTGTCGAGGTTTTTACTCAATATATTCGGTGAATTATTTTTGGATTAACGGTAGTTTGTAATAGAATAGTCTATCTTGTATTATCTATTAAAAAGCTTGAGGAAATTCTAAATATTTCGTCACGTTTTGTGCTCAGGAATGCAAAAAACGATTTTACGAGTAAACGTTATGGATGGTAGCGATGCAGTAATTTTATTATACCTGATTATACATTCCACACTTGATTTAATCAAGTCGTCAATTTATACTATGAATATTATTTTAAAATTGGTTATTAATATCACGGCTATAATTTTAGCAATATGATATCAAACTGCATAAACTATATTTTACTCTTACGTAAATATTTTATCTTTAAGAATAGATACCAGAATACTATACCAAACTTCAGTGAATTTTTAAATTATCTTAGATATAAACTTAGTTTCGAACGACTCATTGCTGAAATGAAAAATAAGGTCGATGTCCATTACAACAAGTGGAGCATATTCACATCATGAAACACACGCTATTGACTGAAGTCTATTTATTATTATTTACACGTTTACTATGAACGCTTCCTTTTTTTTGATAAATGAAAACATAACTATAAAAAATTAAAATAACATATATCATGCTCTAGATTTTTACAATCTTTATTAGCATAATGTTAAATCAGTTTAAATCTACTTACTAGTATTCTTTATAAAAGGATTTTTTTTCTGATGTAACCATTGTTTATTCTTGCAATTTAAAAAATCTGTAATATGTTTGTAAATTTGTAATATGTATGCGATGTATTTATTTGTACGAATTGGATAATAAACAATTTTAATAATAAAAAAGCAACATCAGTTAAATAACGAACAGGAAAAAAAAACATTAAGCAACAGTAGAATAATTAACAAAGATATATATGTATTTCAATTAATGCATTGTTATTATAAAGTTGACATACAAACAAGAAAGCTTACCTGAAAGCAAAGGCACCACCGCCTGCGCCAGATAACGCTAGTCCACAAGCCAGTGATCGGTATTTTTGAAAGTACTTTGTAACTATTACTATTGATGGTAGAAAGATCATACCAAACCCGCATCCTAAATAAATTGCAAAATGACGATGTCAGTGATTATTCTTTAACCACGTATGACCACCCTGATCGTTGATCACAACCACTGTTGCATGGATTTGACAAAGTTGTACATACATTTTTGTAGACATGCCCACTCTGAACAGTGTCAGTCTTCAATCACATTTACGTCATAACTATAACTTTTTGGTACTTCAGTTACTGTAATGTTATTTACATGTAGAAAAATTGTTGTCGCTTTTGCCATTTGGCTGCCTGCAACATCTGCAGAGTTATTCTAAGCATATGTCAGTAAAAATACCTCAGTCTAAAATGCTTGGTACGAAGCAGAGGTCAAATTATCCAGATTACCATGAATTAACACGATTTTGAACACCAACAAACGTCTATCTAAATTTACTGGGTCAGTGCCCAAACATGCCCGACGACTGTACAAGAGTGGGCAAATCTACCAAAATTAACAAAAAGGTTATGTCAATATATTCGGACAAAATGGCGGCGCGCTTAAAAAATAACGGAAGCGAAGGAAAATTTTACGATGACTATTACGGTTAATTCTCACTGTATTCTATTGTAACTTACCTTGTAATTGGATAGATGACCTTTCAGTTTCCCGGAAAAGATCTTCTCTACTTTCTATTCGCCCTACTCGTCCCTGGAGTTTTCTTTTTATCAGAAGCCACAGATTCTCTATAATATTGATATCTGGGCTCTGTGATGGCCAACTCATTCTTAGTATTCCATTCCTATGAAGGAATTCCTGGGTTGAGCGGGCGCTGTGGACTGGCGCATTATCGTCTTGAAAAATAAAGCCCCCAGTTGAAGAATGACGTGCAATAACTGGCCACAAGTTGTCGTCGAGGATAGATTGATATTTTTCAGCATTTAAATTGCCATTTACGGCTGTTAAAGTTCCAACCCCGTACCAGGTTATGCACCCCCATATCATTAGTTCGAAGCATGGCTTGACGCGTCGAGTTCCGGCCAGGTCTGGTCTCCACCCCTCGCCCCTTTTTCTCCAGATCCGGGAATCTTTCTCAACAACAATTTCTGACTCATCAGAGAATATTACTTTTCTTTCTTGCTACTCGTCGCCTAAATTCATGCTTGTAATGTCCTTTTAGCTAGTGGCCTGTCTCTGTTTTCATTAGATTTAATGGTTATATCTTGTAAACTGTTTCTTCTATTACTTTTAACTAACCACAGGACCCCGAAATTCTATCCAAAACAGAAAAATAACGATTAAAAAAAATCCCCTATATATACTATAAACTAACCTTTCTAACCTCCTATACTCCCTTGCTGTCACAGTTGGTTTTCTACCACTTTTTGGAATATTTACTATAGAATCTCTCTGCTCAATTCGCTTCTTTAAACTTCCAACCGTCGATCTAAGCACGTTTAAAGTATTTGATACAAAATCAATTGTTTTACCTTCTTCAAATAATTTCTGAGCTATTTGTTTTACCTCCAGCGTTAATTCTTTTCCTGTACGCCCCATGTTTAATTTTCGTTCTTTAGATTTACTTAAACGCAGCAGACGAATCAAAATGTAAGAAACGTCACATTTCTTAGTATTCTTAAAATAACCTACAAAAACCCCGTGTCTATTTATAACTCGATTTACCGACTACACATTTGTCCCATTTGTTGACAACGCTGTGACGCGCCGCCATTTTGTCCGAATATATATTGCACTATACTGTGTGGTCTGTGGTGGGCGTTACGCACCTTGTGGTCAAATTTTGACCTCAAAGTGCATTATTCAGGTACATGTGCATTTTTAACATCAGACAAACGACCGCTTTTTGTCTATCAATAAAAAATAAGTTCTATGCTGTTTTAAACTAATATCTTGTGGTCAAAGCATATAGTAAATCAAGGTATTGAATAGACGAATTGCATAAAATCAGTACACGCAGTACTCAAAAATATCATTAACTATTTAAGTAGTCACAAGTTAACGGCAATGTAAAGTAAATTTCTCACTGCGGGATCTAGAGGGGGTGGTAGGGTGTAGAACACCCGGATTTTTATAAATAACGTTTCAAAGGCCAAGTAAGCTTTTATTTGTATCTTTCAAAACTTTCTAATTTTGGTGTTCTTCATTTAAATATTGGTACGAATTGCATAATGTTCGAATGATTTTGAGGAAGAACTATTCTGCAGTGATCTCCCCTTACTGGCAGTAGCGTAACGGTTGCGTAGAGTTTCTAAACAGTTGAGGGAGAACCGCCTCTCTGATAGTGGGTGTGGTTTAGGCTTTGTAACTTGTAATTTAATGATTCGACAAGTGATATTGGTCAAAGTTGTCCTGGTTCCCTTCCGCCCCGTCATCGAAGACTAAATGCTAGCATACGGAGTACCATATTAAATTTGGCGACAATTTAAGGCGGAGCCGAACTTTAACAGAGGCGGAGCAACTGAAGTGAGTGACAAAGCCTCAGTCTTACCTCTCTGAACGGTTAAGTTTTAGAACGATCGACTATAGACTGGCTGATTGACACGTTATGTAAATAAAATTAGATAATGTAAAAAAGAATCAGATATTCAAACATGGCACTATCACTTCAGTTAAACGTTCATTCTAATCCCTTAAAGCTCTGTGACATGTTTTACATCAGAAAAGCTATTTTTATTAGAAAATTTGAAAACAGTGTGATTATGTTAAAACAAAACAAACAAAAAATAAATACACAAAATCCAGTCAAAATCAAATTTTTCCATTGCTGTATGGACAAATGCATATATACTAGACGCCGCGTGCAGCGCGGCGTCTACTGACATGCACCTTACATGTAGCGTATTTGCATACTATTCTTTAAACAATCGCTTTCACACTTTGATTCCAATCAAAAAGGATATTTAAAAAGCATTTTTCGTCGTGAATCAGCAGATGCCGGACATTCCTTTAGGTCCCAAAGTTATTAATTATATACTACTTTTTACTCTGTGATTATTGTGATAAAATACCATTAGCAAGCTTAATTTATCTTCGACATTTAATGGTAGTGTTGCGACATTTAACGGTAAGGATAAATCGTGCGACATTTAACGTTACAGTTGCGACATTTAACGGTAGTTAAGTTTTCGATATTTAGCGGCTGTTGTGACATGTAGCAGCGGTTGCGTCATTGAGCGGCAATGTTGCGACATTTAGCGGCGTTGCGATATATAACGGCGCAACACAGTAAAATGTTTTGTTGGAGGATTTATTGCTAATTCTAACACGACCCGCATTTTTCACTATTGAATATAGAAGAACCAAAAGTGTGTGTTATGCAATAGAGACACAGTTGACGTTCTATATTTTGATATGTGACGTAATCATTATACATGTAATAAAACCACTAAGCTAAAAATAAGTACGAAAACAAATCAGGCGCAACTTTGCTTAACATCAGGTAAAAAAGCATTTAGATGTCGTGTTAGAATTGAAATAATATATCCAAATCGGTGATTTTATCGCTTGAAAACATCACTGTCTGTCGTTGGATGCGCATCATTATATAACTCGGGCTACGCCCTCGTGATATATTTCGTCGCATCCGAACTCCAAACTGTGATGTTATTGAGCGATAAAATCACTGTTTGGAGTACTAAGTATATTATTTTTTAAACAGAATTTAAATTTCTGAGCAATTTAACTAAAAAGTTAAAGAACTATCCTGTACATTTTATTTTAGAACTATCTTTTACATTTTATCCAATAATGCAAGAAATATCTAATTCATATTATTTTAGAACTATCCTTAAAATTTCATTTTAGAACGGCAAGAATTATCCTTTACATTCAATTTCAGAATTGCCAGTGAGATTCCCAGATTTCAGTTTTTAATTTTAAAATGACCAATGAAAATTCTTGTAATATTCAGTTCTATTCTGTAAATTTTACAGGAAGTCAAACTGATTTTAGACGGCATTTGGCCGAAAAATATATGAAAAACTAGTTAACACAGGACTGGATGTCAGCCACTCAGCGTGAATCAGTCATCTATATCAGATTTTTTTAATGTTATGAGCAGGTTAATATGTCTTCCGCCGCACTTTTTTATTTTTTAAATTTTCGGCATGTATGTTCATTTTCGTTTCTTTATTTAATATCAGGAAGGATTTGGTAATGTAACTAACTATAAATAGTTACCCATTTCCGAAGATATTGAGGGAGAGCGGCACCGCCTGACTTTAAAAATTAAAATATTCTCATTTGGATTACTAGGACGTTATTGTTTAGTTCGCACTATTTTTTTTTTTCTCCGATTCATTAATACATCAAAATAACAAACGTCTCTAAATAGTTTTTGCATCCAAACAAACACATGTTGATGTTTGTGTTCGAACGTGTAAAAAGATCTGGAAAAGGGTGATCCCTTGGAAGCATTAATGACAACAATAATTCATGAAATATTTGCAAACTCGGTTTGATTAAGTCAGTACTGGTGGGATAATGAAATAGTGCATAAAAGTTGCTTTAAAAATTTCATAAATATTTTTTTTAATTATCGGAGTCTTGTGAAAATCCCACACTTCACAATTATAATTTAATATAGAGCAAACCATCGAATCAAAGAGTTAAATCTTTTCGAGAATGTTAAAAGAAGCAACATCGGATAACGCATAAAGAGACTATGTTCTTTGTGCTTGTTGTGATAATGATTTTTGCGCTTGATAAAAACACCCATGTGAAGATAACGTTACTGTTAAACATGTAAAATACGAACAATATTGAGCTTGCAATTGTTATAAGATACTTCAAAATGTGCTGTTGGATTGTTTTCCTCTACGAAGCATAGAAACAATTTCTAAATTTTAACTGTTATACCTCAATTGTCTAAATGCACAGTCAAGCAAACTACCTAACATTCAATGAAGCCCTTTAAAAATATAATATCAATACAGTGTCTTCAGAAAAAATAATAGGAAAATGTTCAGTTCCTGTAAACAATGTCATATAGAATAGACTGATACATTTCATTTATGATAAACAAAAAAAAAAAAAAAATAATGGCAAAAAAGGTTTGCCTTGTTTAACACCTTTAACAATATCAAAACTATCAGAATGAGCACCATTAACACGTACACAACGTTTAATATTTAATACATTTTTGCAACATTTTAGCAAATTTTGTCCAAGCACCCGATTCTTTAACCAAAAACCTTTTCCATATTTAACATCGAAAGCCTTTTAAAGCCAACACAATTACGGTATCATTTTCTGTTTTTCAGGGACAAAATTATATTTATAATTGAAGTCCGAACAAAAATGCAATCCATTGTGCATGTTTGTTTTCTAAAACCATTTTGAAAATCAGATCATAGTCCCTTTCATTCTGCCCAAGAGCGATATTTAACAAAACTGAAAATACCTTTGAAAGAAATAGTAGAGTAATGCCTTAAAAATAGTTAACATCATTTTTAAATATAATATATATATGATTAAAAAGTTTACCAATAATTGTGCTTATCTGGAAATAGACAATAAAGAATCGACAGATAAAACCGTGTGGTGATTTTGACAACATGGTCGAACCTAAAACTTCCCGAATGCTTCTGTAATTGCTTTATTGTGGTCAATCTGATCATTTTTACAGATGCTTATCAAGAATTACGCAAATTACTCTACAAATGAGTGTCATTCAAGGTTTTGTTCGAGATTTATTAGAGAGTTTCGGAAACATTTCCTTATAACGGATGGGAATCGATTATTACCAATTTATTAATTTATCCTGCATGCTTGACTTGAAATTAATCTAAATTATATACATACTTAACTTAAATTTAAACTTTTACTAGTACCTGCAACTATTCCCATGGTAAAGTAAAGCACCAACAATTGTTGAACGAATATACTTGTAAGGTAACCAATACATCCAAGAATAGCACCTAAAATTGTAACTGCCCGACATCCGTACCGATTGATTAAGATACTTGCTACTGGACCTAAAATTAAAATGGTCAATTAAATTTATATACCGATAAGAAATAGAATCCGGCGGTTACAATAACGGGCTCACTTATCTCTGTAAGACCGCTTGAAAATTTGGGCAACCTGGCCATACTATTCTAAAAATAAAAGATAAATATGCCAGAAATACAAAGAGTTGTTTATTTGATTTTTATCAACGTATTAAGGTAATATAACTACTTCAGATTTTCCTTTTAAATGAGAGATATATTAATGCATTAACTATAACATTTAACAATGTGTATCGTAAGTGTAACACACCGATTAAATAAAGGCAACCCGTTGTTAAGGATGGTATCCAAGAAAGTTCCGCTTTTGTGCCTTTGAAATTTTCTTGCAGCGCCAGGAAAAGAATTCCAAACGAGTAGACAATTCCATGAGTAATAAGATGGGCCAAAAATGCTGCCATAGCAACCACACAGCTCCAACTCGAGTCAACAGCTGCATCGTTCTCCATTTGATCAGATGACAACGCGTTTTAACACACCTGAAAAAAAGTTTAACTGACAGTGATAAATGTGAAAAGCAATAACTTT